GAGCAGACAGCTGCACACCTCCAGCGGGCCCTGAACTTCACAGCCCACATGGCCTATCGCCGAGGCATCATCCTGTTTGTCAGCCGGAACCGGCAGTTCTCGCACCTGATTGAGACCACAGCCCGAGAGTGTGGCGAGTACGCCCACACGCGCTACTTCAAGGGCGGCCTGCTCACCAACGCGCCCCTGCTGCTGGGCCCCGGTGCCCGCCTGCCTGACCTCATCATCTTCCTGCACACGCTCAACAATGTCTTCGAGCCGCACGTGGCCTTGAGGGACGCGGCCAAGATGAACATCCCCACCGTGGCTGTGGTGGACACCAACTGTAACCCCTGCCTGGTCACCTACCCCGTGCCCGGCAACGACGACTCGGCCACCGCCGTCCAGTTCTTCTGCAGGGTCTTCCGGACCGTCATCCACCGGGCCAAGGAGAAAAGGAGGCAGGTGGAGGCCCTGTACCGCCTGCAAGCCCAGTCCAGCACCCCTCCCAGCCCAGGACCAGACACCCCTTCCCCAAGTGACCTGTCGAGCTCCCTGTAGTCCCAGGGCTGTGGGAGCCGGGGCTGGTGCCCCCTGCTTTCCCATGTCAGACTGCCATTTGTCCCCAAACAGACCCTGTGTTTATTCAAAAGGGTGGGCTGGGCCAGAGTCAGGGTTCGCAGCCTGTGCCCTGTGAGGGCCCCCACTCTGGTCAGGGAGGGTATTCCATGGGCCCCATTTTTCCCCTTCACCACAGGCCCCCGAAACCCTCAACTCTCCTGCCTGCTGGTCCTCAGGGACTGTATGACTCCCCCACCCAGCTCACCATGTGGACTGGGACAGAAATAAAGGTGACAGTTGGGGACTGTTGGCTCGGAGTCCGAGGGTCCAGACTGTGCACCAGCCCCTGGGGCACCCACTCCTTCCCCTCCAGCCCCACAGGCTGAGCCACTTCCCAGCTCTGGGCGAGGCTGCCTGGAGACCCCAGCCACGGTGGCCTGGCTTCTGGGGCTCCACCCTCAAGTGGAAAGGCAGCCCTGCCCTGCTTTCACTCGCCCTGTCCCCCATCCACATGGCTGGGGCAGATGGGCAGAGGAGGGGACGCACGGGAGAGGAGGAAGCCGCCCGCACCACCTCCGCAGACTCAAGCCGGAGTCAGGGCTACAGGAGAGGAGGCCACCTCTCAGAGGGGAGTCTGAGGGTGGGGGAGCCCCGGGCCCTGGCGACCCCGGTGTCTGCTCCCTGGGGACGGCCTGGTGTGCTCTGAGCTCCTTGTGACATTCCACCTCTGCAGGAGGTGCTGTTGCCCCATGATAGGCTCACGGGCCGGGGACCACAAGGCTGGGCACAGGCCAGGCCAGGCCTGATGAGGTTGAGGAAGAGGCCAGGTCTCTCACCAGATTTGTGAAGGAGGCCTTGTGAGGGAACTGGGTACCCAAGGGCCTGTGGAGGAAACGGGTGGAGGGGTCACCAAAGCCCCCATCCTTTCCTCTGGGACCCAGACTGCACTGCAGCCCTGAAGACAGGTCCTTCCTGGAGTGGCTGCCCTAGTGCTGGCCACCAGAGGGCGGCAGCCTCCTGCCACAGGTGTCCCTGGGTTTCGCAGACCTGGGACCAGGGCTCTGACTCCAGGCCACCCTGGCTGCCCCCTGCCTTGGCTCGCCGGGACAGGAGTGTGTGGAGCCTCCCTCGCTGCGCTGGGAGCAGTGGAAGGTGAGAGATGGGGTGTTTAGGAGGGGCAGTTAGCTGTGTCATCCCACGGTGGACACATCAGCAGCACAACTGGGCACGCTTGGAACCTGGCACAGCCCCTACAAGGAACAGATGTCACTATAAAACTTAAGGGGGTGGGGAGGGCTGCACAGTGCAGGAGATCTCACTGAGGTGATGTTGATGTGTGGCAAGTGACAGCAGGTACTGAGATGTCCTGAGGGTGCAGGGAGCTCGGGGACAGGCCCAGGGCCAGCAGGCAAGGAGGTGAATGCGG